TCCTTGGCAGGGACCGGTCCCATCGAGGGCACGGCGTACTGCCGGTCGGCGTCGGAGGAGACTGCTCTGCTCGGGGGAGGTTTTGAAGGCGGGCCCTTGGCTCCCTTCTTAATCTTTTCCCTCATGTCGAGCAGCCCCTGAATATGCGCGGTCAACTCATCGTATGCGCTCATATTCTCCTGTCCTATGCCAGGAGGATAATCCTCTAATTTCTTGACAGTTCCTTTTACAGGGGGTCTGTTGACCGGTGGCGGCGCTGGTGTTGGGACATCCCCATAGCGATGTCCACATCTATTGCGGCGTCAACCTCTACTTCCTTTCTTGCTGTGGCGGATGAGGAGGGAATATCCTCCCTTACCACGTAAGGGTTCACCCCCTCGTTTATAGCCTTTGGGGGCGCAGTTCGGGATTTCTTCCCTTTGGCTTTGCCTTCCCCTTCCTTGAGACGTTGAACTTCGTTCTTCAATTGGAGTATCTCTGACATGAGTATCCTATTTTCATTCTGTAGAGTCTTTATTTCGCTCTCCCCCTCTGGATTATTAGTCATTGTGGCCTGCGACGAACTTGTCGCGGCCAGAGCGGCTATGGCGGCCTGCAGGTAACAGGCCGCATCCGATATTTCTTTTTGCACGTTACCTTTTAGTCTTTTGCTTTTTATCGCGCATTTCTTTAATACGGTAACGCACTCCAATCCCCTCGCAGCGACATCAAGCGTCGGCGCCTGCGAAACCTCGTCGTTGAATTCGGCAGTCTTCTGCTCAAACCTCTGCCACGCCTGGCTTTCACTCAATGGCGTGGCAGGGTCGAGCATCTCTGCCTCCTCCCTGCGCTCTTTCTCAGCGAGCTGCTCGGCCTCTCTGACCTTTTTTTTCTCATACTCCCTGGTGGTAGCGGGGCGCCCTCATTTTCTCTTTTTGGTGAGGGGTTTCTCCCCCAATCAGAGTCGTACGTAACGTCCTCTGGTAGAGGGATCTGGGCGATGACCTCCATCGATACTTCCTCCTTCTCGGTCTTGGACATCCCTTGTCAAGATTCTGCCACCGTGGGCTCCTTGCGTGGTACAGCTTCCTCTCTTCGGAGGACCACTCTCGTTCCCCTCACCAATTCCATCGCCTTTACAGCGACCTTAGAAGACCGCAGCCCCGGTCTGGGACCTTTGGTCTCCTCCTCCCCTTTAGTACTTAAGTTATTGGTTATGGTTATGTTATTGCAGCTCATTCTTTTTATTCCCACTCCCTGCGGAGGCTCGACCGGCCGGCGTATCTCCCACCGACCAAAGGGCGACCCGAAACATGACCGGAATCGCCCTTCAAGCCGGTGCCCCGGGGACTCCCGGGGGGCCGGCTTATGTCGCCGGCCGGGGGGGATACCGCACCCCCGGCACAGGACTCCGAGCCCCTTACTCCCCCATGAGGGGTTTGACTCCCCCATGGGGTTTCGGGGGTCCCCCGCCTCCGACAACGCGGGCACCTCCGGAAGTGACGCCACTCGGGGGGCCCCACGGACGCTTCGGACAGGGTCGCCGCTCCCCGGCCCTGCCATACACGCCGTGGCGACCAGCCGTCCCCCCGCCAATTAATCACTGCCGGCGAGAGGGACACACCTTCTCCTGGCCGGCCGGTTCGGAAGGGGAAACGGTCCCGACCGGCCAGGAGTACGAACTCTCGCCGCTGGGCCCCGCCTCGGAAACGTCCGAGCGGCCCCAGCGGCAGACCCGCGTGGCACCCTCCGGGCAATGCCCCTTGGGAAACCCCTCCGGGCAAAGCCCCTCGGGTAACCACGCATGGCCTTCTCCGCCACACCCAGCCCGAGCTCGGAATACGTCCGAGTAGCCCCGGTGCGGCCAACTCCAGGGACGCTGGGACGAGAGCGAGCTCTCCACCAGCACCCTGGGGCTCCTCCCCTCGCCGAACCCCGCCTCGGAAAAAGTCCGAGCGGCTCCGGCGACTGACCAGCGTGGCCCCCTTCGGGCAGTGCCCCTTGGGTAAACCCTCCGGGCAGCGCCCCTCGGGTAACCACGCATGGCCATTTCCGCCGCCCCCGACCTGAGCTCGGAATACATCCGAGTGGCTTGGGTGCGGCCAGCCACAGGGACGCTGGGACGGGGACCCAGGCTACCCAGCCTGGAGACCCCCAACCAGCACCCTGAGGCTCCTCTCGCCGCCAGGCCCCGCCTCGGGAACGTCCGAGCGGCCCCGGCGACCGACCACCGTAACTCCCTCCGGGCAACGCCCCTCGGGTTAACCCTCCGGGCAGAGCCCCTCGGGTAGTTACAGATGGTCACCCATCCCCGCGGCCCCCGCCGCAACAACCCACCCCGAGACCCCGGGGAGACACCCCGGAACTCGGGGAGTTGATGTACCCGATGTACTTCAGGTACGGGATGCTGTTAGCACCCTTTGCAAGACTATCCTCTTGCAAAGGATGAGCCCTCTCGCCACGGCAAGGCCGCATCCCATGAGAGGGTGGCGTACACGTC